TAATTTCTCGACGCGCCTATCTCCCAAAGCGGCCTGTTTGGACCAGCGGTGAAGGAGTTCGCCGAGCGCTTCACCGAAGCCCGTAAGGACTCACAGGCTATGTGTCACTTCCTGCCCAAGCGATTTAGCTCATCGCAGAGCCACCAACGGCCGCCTTAGCAGCAGCGAGCTAAGACGGCGCCCCCCATCTCTCAGCCCAGACCTGAAACGGATTTTCGACGCCGCTCTCGCTCTGCCAACAGGAAACAACCGCCCGAGCGACGGGGACCTCGGCCCAAGATTGTGCTGAACCCAGAGCCTCGCAAGTCCTCCTAGCTACAGGGAGAAAAAGGGAGAGCGCGTGTCTCGCAAGAGCCGGACCGTTCTCTCCAAAACGTTTAAAGCATTACCCAGTCCCCTTACAGGCGGCTGGAAATGTCTATACAGCAGCCAATGTGCCAGCCACACAGCTCGCCCACCTGCAAACAAACGCCGTTTTTACGGCGACACACAGAAATCACATAAAGAGCCATTTTCTGCCTGTGTCATTAAAGGGTCACGTGTCCACACCAAAGTGCGCATTCCCACATATCAAAACTGTCAACGCAGTGCCAAATGTTTTCCCAGCTCAAGCTGGACGCCCCATAAATGTAGATTGTGTGCCAACTGTCACGTATGCACCACTACACACAAGCACTGTTCCCACAGTTATAAACACTTCCCCAGTAAAAGCGGGAAGTTGTATAAGAGTAGCTCGTGTGCCCGCTGTCATGCACGCACCCCAACTCACAAACACTGTTTATATGACCAAAAACCTCCCGCCACGAGCGGGAAGTTTTATGAAAGTGGCGCGCGTGCCTACCACAGCCTATGCACCCCCACCCATAAGCACTGCCCATACAGTGTTAAACATTTCCCCATCTCACTCTGGGAGCATTACGGCGAGCGTGCCTGTAATCTCACACGCACCCCTGCACTCGGCATTCATCAAAGCTGCTCAGCGCGCGCCCGCGCCGCGGAGAGCTGTAAGCTCGGTATTAGTACAGAGCGATTCGCTGGCGGGAGCCATACGTCACTGCGACACGCCCCCAGCCAGCATTCAGCCCATATCTGTGCGAGCGAAAGCTTGGGAAAATATCCCCGACATGCCGAAATGGGTTTTGAACATAATAAAACACGGTTACTCGCTTCCATTCGCTCGCAGACCGCCCCGCTTCACAGCAGGCAGTGGTCGAGACGAAAGTGAGAAAAGATGTTTCACATGTTCTACGCACCGAGATGCTCAAACTGTTAGAGAAAGGCGCTATAGAGACAGTCCCTCCCTCTATGAGCAAGGCAGGTTTTAACAGCCGCTATTTTCTCGTCCCGAAAAAGGATGGCGGTCTCCGCCCCATTCTAGATCTCAGACATCTGAACAAAGCTTTAATGATTCGCTCGTTCAGAATGTTAACAACCAAACATATCCTCGCGCAAGTTCGCCCAGGGGATTGGTTTCTATCAGTGGATCTGAAAGACGCTTACTTTCACATTCCGATAGCGCCTCATCACAGGCCTTTTCTGAGATTCGCTTTCGAGGGACAGTCATACCAGTACACAGTACTACCATTCGGCCTGTCACTGGCACCCCGTACATTTACGAAATGTATGGATGCAGCACTTTCCCCCCTGAGGCAGCGGGGGGTGCGAATACTGAATTATCTCGACGATTGGCTAATCCTAGCACAATCAGAGAGCCAGTTAGTGACACACAGATCTTGGATTATCAGTCATCTAGATTGCCTGGGTCTAAGAATCAATTTTGCAAAGAGCATGCTATCCCCCAGCCAGAATATTTCTTTTCTGGGAATAGTGCTAGACTCAGTGCAGATGACGGCGCGCCTCTCGTCAGAGCGCGCGCTCACTATCCGGCGCCTTGCAACATCGTTCAGAGCGGGTGCGCGGCCCCCGTCAAGCGATTTTAAAGGATGCTCGGTCTCATGGCCTCAGCATCAGCTGTACTCCAGCTAGGATTGTTGCACATGCGTCCTCTCCAACGCTGGCTCAAAAGCCGTGTCCCCACTCACGCGTGGCGCTCGGGCCACTTTTTAATCAGAGCGAATTACGGCTGCATAAAAGCCCTGACGCCCTGGAAAGCTGTCGACTGGTATCAGTCCGGCGTGAGTTTGGGCGTGAACACAAGGAGAAAAATGATCACGACAGATGCCTCCAAAATAGGCTGGGGGGCCCTTTACGAGGGCAGGCCTGTCTCCGGCTTGTGGTCAAACCCGGAGAAGTGCCTACATATAAACTGTCTGGAATTGAAAGCGGTCGCTTTGGCTCTCAGAGCCCTGCTCCCGTACCTGAAGGACGAGCACGTCCTAGTCCGAACGGACAACATGACAGTAGTTTCGCATATAAATCGTCAGGGTGGACTCAGATCGAGCTCCCTGCACTCAATGGCCAGGGAGCTCCTCCTATGGTCCCAGCGCAACCTGCGCTCGCTGAGAGCAGCGCATGTGCCATGTGTTCTGAACCAGGGAGCGGACATGCTGTCCAGAGACAAAGTTCTCCCAGGAGAATGGTCTCTCCACCCCCTGACGATTCAGTGGTTATGGCAAACCTTTGGCAGAGCAGAGGTCGACCTCTTTGCCTCCAAGGAAAATGCGCACTGCCCTCTCTTCTTTTCAAAGAGCACAGACGCGCTCGCCCAAGTCTGGCCGAGCCGCCCGCTGTATGCCTTCCCTCCGGTCGCGATGCTACCTCAGGTCATCAGTCGGATCAGGGAGGAGAAATGTGCAGTGCTCCTGGTAGCCCCACTCTGGAAGAACCAGACGTGGTTTCCAGAACTGATGCAGATGATGCAATCTGCCCCATGGCCGATTCCACTGAGGCTAGATCTCCTCAGGCAGGCCAACGGGATGATCCTCCATCCCCGCCCCGATCTGTGGGCCCTCCATGCGTGGCCCCTCAACGGATTCCCGGGAACCTCCCCAGTGGAGTGTTGAGAACCATCACTGAGGCACGAGCGCCCTCTACGAGGCACTTATATGCCCAGAAATGGAAGGTGTTCAGTGACTGGTGTAAATCCAGGAACCTGAATCCTGAGACATGCGAAGTACCGAGTGTGCTCGTTTTCTTACAAGAGCTGTTGGAGGCAGGCCGCACCCCCTCCACGCTCAAAGTATATGTGGCTGCCATAGCGGCATCACATGACCCTGTGGAAGGACGCACACTAGGGAAAAACTACCTAGTTGTTCGTTTCCTGAGGGGCGCCAGGAGGATAAATCCCCCACGCCCCCCCTCGGTGCCAATTTTGGACCTGGCCACGGTCCTGGACGCACTTAAGCGTGCCCCGTTCGAACCCCTCCGAACTGTGCACCTTAAACAGCTCTCGCTCAAAACTGCTCTCTTGCTGGCTCTCGCCTCGGTCAAGAGAGTGGGCGACCTGCACGCACTGTCATCAAGCGCTACCTGCCTGGAGTTTGGACCTAACGACAGCAGGGTTGTCCTCAGGCCAAAACACGGGTATATTCCTAAGGTGCTCTCTACTCCTTTCAGAGCACAGGTGATATCTTTGGCCGCGCTATCGTCTCCAGCAGACGAAAGCGACGCTAATTTACTCTGCCCGGTCAGGGCACTCAGAGTATATTTGGAACGTTCTGCCCTGTTCAGACAGACAGAGCAATTGTTCGTATGCTTTGGCGGCCGCACTAAAGGTCTGGCTGTTTCAAAGCAAAGAATATCGCGCTGGATAGTTGATGCTATAGCGCTGGCTTATGAAGCCAAGGGCCTTCAGTGCCCCTTGGGCATCAGAGCTCACTCTACGAGAGGCATGGCCTCCTCGTGGGCGTGGTCGAGTGGGATACCCATTCAAGATATTTGTGCGGCTGCAGGCTGGGCCTCACCGTCCACATTTATCAGGTTTTATAACCTACAGGTCCCCTCATTGCACTCTAACATACTGTCGGTCTAACTATGCATAGGCTGGGGTGTGTACATGCTGAGCATTGTCTCCTCCCTCATAGAATCCATCTTTGACTGATGTGGAGGATTTTTCATACATGACAGTACATAAAAATGTGCTTGTGTGTGTCTCTGGACGCCCATCGGGCCGTTCCACGTTGTCCTTTTATAAAGCCCGCCTTCGGCTGGCTCGTTGGATAATTACTTTGCTCGAAGGCTCAGGCATCTGCCTCCGGCTTAATAGAGCGAAGTCAGCACGCACGGCGTTTTACATGGCGTTCCTATAGCGTAAGCTTACGCAATAGGGGGAACCTCTCGAAAGGGAACGACTCGGTTACTTACGTAACCTCGGTTCCCTGAGAGGAGGGAACGAGTATTGCGTAATCTGCCGTGCTTGTGCTTGGTCAGTTTGCTTCAGTCGATTGAACCTAAAGAACTCAGACAACGGGGCGCCCAATATATAGCCCTTGGCCACGCCCATCTTGGCGGGCTCTGACGCGCGTGGGCGCGAAGCACGCTCATTGGAAGCGGGTTCAGAGTCGCCCCGTCATAGGTTCGTGCAGTTGCCGCAGCACAGCCAATGACCGAGCTGCCTCGCTTATTGCTGTATGCTGTGCAGCTGCAATGCGTTTTACATAAAGACTTCAATATTTCTCGAGAAAAGGAGTTTCCCCATAGCGTAAGCTTACGCAATAATCGTTCCCTCCTCTCAGGGAACCGAGGTTACGTTAGTAACCGAGTCGTTCCTCTATGCGGTTTGTGTGGCGAGTGATCTCGCTTGAGTAATGTGAGAGCTTCACGTTCATGAGGAGCCTATTTATTGAGTTTCAGTGACATTGAAATTAAAAATATGTGTGTGTGTGTGTGTGTGTGTGTGTGTGTGTGTGTGTGTGTGTGTGTGTGTGTGTGTGTGTGTGTGTGTGTGTGTGTGTGTGTGTGTGTTTTCTTCCTTCTGAATAAAAATCTAAATTTCATACCTGTAATTGTTAGTGTGGCTGCTTGCCGTTGACATGAGGCAAGTTTGTATTTGAATTTATTTGAATTTTTCCCTTGGAATTTATTCCTTATCTCTGTACTTTACTCTATAAATGAGTTTCGTTTCCTGAAAAGGATACACCCCCTTTTAAACTCAACCTCTTACATAAGGTGTCAGTTCAAGAGCGTCCCAGTTTACTTAAGATGGATCCCTGTAAGTAGTACCTGCTTTTTTATATATGTTCACCTATCACAATAATCATAACCTGTTTGTTTTCTTAAGGTACGATGATTGCAGCTGGTGCAGGAGCAGGTAAAATAAATGTGGAATCTTGTTTTACTAGACAGAAGACATTATTTTAACTGTTAATTTTAAAATGTTTATCCATCTGAACCAGTAAATTTAAATATGCCACGTTTCCACCGTTCCACCAATTGTATAGCCATAGCAGTTGCAGCAGCTCCTGCTGTTCTAGCAGCGGCCGGTTTCACCGCAGTTGGAATTGCTGCAGGTTCAGTTGCCTCCACTTTGATGTCAGTTACTGCCGTGGCGAACGGAGGAGGGGTCGTAGCTGGAGGTGTGGTAGCTGCTCTTCAAGCCGCTGGTGAGATAAATATAACAAATCATAAATTATAATTATAAACTGCCAGCAGGTGGTAAAGCAATCGGACAGTTCCCCACCGCATCATTGACTTATGCTACAGTCAAAACATTGACCTAAAAATCACTGTGCAGCGTAGCTTGTCAGTCGCACATGAATATTTTTTTAAGATAGGCCTATGTACATTAATTCATTCTATGCCTATCTGTAATGTTTATGGTATTTTCGGGTTTGTTGGGCGTCTACTGCACACTGTCCTCACGGGCCTTTAGATTTCTTTGTTTACGTATAGGCTAAGTATGCAGGTGTAAGACTGGAAAAACTGGAAGAACTGTAAGAATGCGTTTACACTTGACATTAACATGCGACCTGTAACCGGATGTTGTCCACATACACATTGAAAAGACAAGTGTAAACGCACTTCTGATCGGAATGTCATCCGCTCAGCGTGTCCAGGTTCGGAGGTAGTCGAGGACGCATCGTGATCGGATCTCAGAGTAATGTAAACGCAATGCAGCCATCGTGTCTGCATTCACTTCGTTCAAAAAACTTAATTTTATCGACTGGAGATTGCATAGGAAAGTAAAGTGAGTGAAGGAAAGCAATTGGAACATTGTTTAATTTGTATCATCTTTACTCTTAATCTGGTGTCGTGCCACAGACCTAATTTAAATATTAAGCAGGAACAGACTGGTGCTGCTTTGCACTCTATGGCAGTGTTGCAGGCATACCAGGCTGATCTGCTTAAAAAAAAGGGGGGGGGTCTCAAAAGCAGAGTGTGGCAAGTTGCGCTCCCCCTCGTAAAGACTGGGAGTCGGCTCGTCACGCTCAGTAGCCTTATAATAGACCTGAGACAAAAATTCTGAGGTTTTTTTGTGTCCATGTCTGTTGGGGTGTGCCCCTTCAGGACGGGGCATGTGAAATACATAAATCAGCTCCTACCCGCCATCCTCACAAAATGACTGTAACATCCCCACCACCTCTGGTGATTTGGGGGGCAGCGGATTTCAGCAAAATGTTGAATGTTCTGTTGTTTCCTGTTACCGCCCAGGAGACAGAACATTAACATTCCCCCAACTGGAAGTATTAAAATTGGTACCCCTTTAAAGAGACTTTGGCAGCGTGAAAGCTACTGCCGGGTATCTCTCTTTGCGTCCTCGTTTTAACGGCGTGGTTCCCACTACCGTGAAACAGGAGTGGGCGCATCTGCTGTCACAAGGAAGAAAAAAAGACGAAGAAAGAAAAGGGGGACTGCGTCCGTTTTTAGATCTTTGAGGCTTCAACCGTTCCGTCAGAATGCTCAAGTTCAAGATGCTAACTATCAAAAAGATTGTGTTGTAAATTCAACATCGCGATTGGTTCTTCACGCTCGATCTCAAAGATGCATATTTTCACATAGAAATATTGCCACAACAAAGGAAGTTCCTGAGGTTTCCTTTTGGGGGCGAAGCTTACCAATATCGGGTCCTTCCATTCGACCTAGCCATGTTACATAGACGATTGGCTGATACTGGCCCAGTCTCAAGAGCTTGCGCTTCGACATCGAGATCGATCCCTGCTGATCTTCTCTCTCTGGAGCTGAGATGCAACGGCAAGAATAGCATTCTCTCTCCTGCCCAGAGGGTAACGTGCTTGGGGGGTTAAATGGGACTCTGTCACCATCAGGGGCACAACTGTCTCCCGCTGGTGTCAAGACCATTTTAAACACTGTAAGCAACATCTGGATAGGTCAGGATGTTACATAGGTCTCATGGCAGCTGCGTCCACAGTGATTCTTCTGAGCCTTTTGCACATTAGACCACTTCAGTTGTGGATCAAACCGGATTAGATACAATCCCCAAAGGCAAATAAGGACAAGCGCATGCGCTGAGTGCTTTGTGTCCTTTCTAAAAATGTATGGTTATGATAAGGGTTATGCGCTGCGGCTTCGTTCACGTGGTATAGACCCCGGTGTAACTATCAGACAATCAGACACATAACTATTTGTTACATTTAACAAATAAGCTTTAAAGCCCACTATTAGGACTGAAATATTCCCCCAAAAGAGGCTAGAGAGTAGCCTAGAAATCTAGACTCACCCTAGCGGCTGCAAAAATTATTTTGCAGCCAGTGTAGTCTAGCAACTCTCCGTTGACTTTCGAGCTGGAAAAACCAAACTCTAGTCAGGCCAATCACATCGTGTATAGAGTTGTAGCGGATCACTAGACGCACCACAGGGTCAGCCCCAAATAAAGAGAAACACCAGCAACGTCTTTTCGCTTTTGCGTGTTTACTGCAATCATAAAATGGGACAGTGTTACAATCAATCATCTGTTCTGGATTGACAATCTCTCTTCAGAGTGCTTCCCGCAAACTCGTATTACAAGATGTATTTTCTTCACATTATCTTAAGTGGTTCCATTTAATAAGATGCATAACACCAAAGGCATATTTTTTATGTAGAACTAATAAGATTTATGAATTCTGAAAATTAATAAAACAATAATGAAACAAAAGAATACAACTCATACCTGCAATCATAAAATGGGACAGTGTTACAATCAATCATCTGTTCTGGATTGACAATCTGCAAACACATCATTCAGTTAGTACATTGTCCCATATTTCTAATATGCAGGCAACTTACAATATCAAAGAAACAATTCAAAGTTTCAGCTTCTTCTTAACACACATAACATGCTTTGAATCATGAACTACATTACCCAGAATTCACCGTTGATTACTGGCGCGCATTTCACTCAGTGCAGCACAGATTAACCACTCATGTCATCAAAATGAAATTAAGGCCAGATCAACATTAACAAGTATCCTCATACCCATGAAAACCACATAGGACATTAACTGATACTTAAAGTGTTATACCATTCATAGAAATATGACACAATCGCACGTTTAAAGCAATACAGTTTATGTACTATATTAAACATGAAGAACCATCTATTTGACAAACAACAGGGTCACCAACAGTATTACCACCATATTTCGTTCTGATTTCATAATAACTTCTGTTTAATATGCTCTAAGACCTTGTTTGAATTGTCCATTAACGGAGACACATAGGCCTACCTCTCTTCAGAGTGCTTCCCGCAAACTGAAGAGTGCAACACGCGAGGAATATACCATTGATTGATAAAAGGGGGGATCATACCAACTCAGTAACACTAAAGGACACAACACATCTTTCCAATCAAACTCATGCAGTACAGGGCAGTAGTGCAATTATAATGTTTGATAACCACAAAGACTAAATGCTGGTTGCTGTATGTTAAATTAAATACTGGTGTTGATTTAATATTCCAACTTCCCCCACCTTAATGAAATGTGGATCATTCCTTGCTCAATCTCTCTCTGCATCTGATTGAAGAGCAACTAATCTATTTAACAAAGTTTGATGAATTATAAATTTTTCACACCATTACAGAGTCAGCGGGCGGGCTTAACATAATGACGACAGAGATGCGACGGTTCACTGCTAATTGAAAACAAAGAATGGCTGCTGCTGCTGGCGAACAGCTGTCTTTTGATTCGGCTTTGACCGCGACTCTGGATGATTTAAAGTTAAGCTTTTCTTTGAAACATGAACAAAGAACGGCACTTGAGTCATTTTTAAAAAAGGAAGATGTGTTCTGTGTGAAGATGTGTGAGACTACGTCAACCTTCTTCGTTGCTCTGGTTGGTTGTAGCGCTATCCTATTGCGTGCAGAGGGAATTTGAAAGACAACCGTTCATCCCGCCCCTCGTATTGAGCCCTGTCAATGGTGAGTTCCCAGACCTAACATCCTGATGTAGGTCTGGCATGCCAGGCTAGCAAGAGAGCAGAAAAGGCCTCAGTCGCTGGGCGACCATCAGATAAGATGTTTTTATTGCTCTGAAAAATGTGGTCATGTGATAAGACAGAGGCCATAGGAAAGACCTACAGCCCTTAAAATAGACTTCTCTGCATTAATTTATAGACGAACTGATCTGTAAATGAACATACACCAACGGACATTGTGTGTGATAATTGTATGTCTTGTATACTGTCTCTTGCATTTATATTTATTTAATGCATGCTTTATGAGAAAACTACTAGTTAATGTAACCCCACCTATGTCATGTCTCCTATCTAATTAATCCTCATTTAATGACTCACACTTTATTGTACATTGCCTTCTCATAGAATGCAGTGTGTGTTTGTGATATCTATCTGAGTATAAATGGACACAAATGGCAAATGGCTTCGATGTCGAAGCGCAATGACTCTGTCTCAGGCTGGTCCTCTCCGCACACATTCATAAGATTTATAGTTTGGATGTTTGTGCCACTCTGTGCTCTCAAATCCATGAGTCGACATCACAAGCTCATGTCTGAGACCTTCTTCGCGTTCTTGTGAGCACACACTACACATCCACAAGGGTTGGCAGGTGCGGCGGCATGGGTATTCTCGTTAGCCCATAAATCAAGCTCAGCATTGAGTGTAGCTTTTTAAAAGGGAACGTCTCGGGTTACTTGACTGTAACCCTGTTCCCTGAAAAAGCGGGAAAGAGATGCTGCGCTTTATTGCCGCACTAGCGATGTCCCAGGACTGCTCTTCAGACAAAATTATACCTGCCGATGCACCTATGGCACATTTAATTGTAGCCTCTGAAAGTGTGTGCATTCCAATGACGTCACTGTCCGAGGCTATAAAAGCTCAAAGTCAATTTCATTGACGTGTTGCACACATATATTCACAGCTGGTCACGCACAAAAGCGTTCCCATAGCACTTAAATCAAGCGCAGCATCTCATTCCCGCTTTTTCAGGGAAAAGGATTACAGTCAAGTAACCCGAGACGTTATTGTTGTGGCAAAATTTATCTCAAACAAACATCACTGCGTAAGAGACACTCAGAGTCAAATTATATAAAATAGAAGTATTTGTTCTTGCAAGAATAGGAGCAGTCTAATACACAGTTGTTACCCTGTGCAGAAGAGTGACACCCCCCCCCCCCCCCCCCAGACAGACTGAACTAGCTTTTATCTT